TGATTTAAAGGTCAGAAGCTATAGCTTACATGAAAAAAATCACAAACATGGCACTTGTAAATTAAATAATTTTATATGTACTGATTTATTAATTAATGTGTCATATGTTTTATTTTTTAAACAAATCATAAGCTCTAAAAGATTTTCAGAATTTTTACTACTCTTTTGCTTTAGACCATCTACAAATGCTAAATCTAAAAATAAAATGTTAGGGTTAACACTGCATCTTTCTGGGGGAAAAAATGCAGCGATTGATATATAGTTTATTTATAGTTATTTTCAAAGCTTCAATGTACTGTCAAAAAACCTTCATTATTGTTTATTTAATTCTAACAAATAAGTTCTTGTTAAAAACTAACCAAAATTAAAAATATTTTGCTTATAATTTCTGCACTGGAGAGACTTGGTGTTGTTTCCAAACAAAAGGAAATATATAGGTATCGGTATGGGTATTGCCCAAAATGAGTTGAAAAATATCGGCATATCGGATATCGGCAAAATCCAATATCGTGCATCCCTACAAAGAACCCAAAGGTTTTATTTTTGGCAACTGTAAAGGCCCTTTCACACCAAAAGTTAAATTAATAAGCCTCAGTCTGAAGGAAGCACCTCTGCACTTACTCCCGATTTCTCTAAACATGGGGACAGGAACTGGCGTTACTCATTTGAAAAGACTCGCTCAGATATTTTGTTGTAAAATTAATGTGTTACTTTACTAGTTACTTGAAAAGGTAATCAGATTACATAACTCACATGCATTTCCCCCAACACTTGTTGCCCATTCTATTGTGCTTATAAATGATAATACTTCTTTTTCTACTTAATTTTTAATGTTTTCATTTAATTGTAATTTTCGTGTGTTGTATTGTGTTTAGCGTATTTCTAGAAAATAATCGCACAAATTTAAACTGTTTAGTCATGTCCTAGGTAAAGGTAACAGGGATGTAACAGTTGCAAAAATGAGGTGAACATGAAATATTTTCAGAAAGATAAGCACCTCCTGTGCTGACTTTTATTTTGGAAAATTCATTCAGCATTTCAAGCCTTGTTTAGTACTTATTGATGTGCTGAACATAGTACTGGTTTAACTGTGTTGCTGTCGTGGTGTGTATGCTGACCCTTGACCCCTGACCTCCTCAGCTGTGTGTCCTCCAGGTGAAGTGGTGTCCGTGTCTCTAAACGAAGTAGTGCACCTGCAGTGTCCGGGAGCGTCACACCTCGCCAAACGCCACTGGGAGCGTCTCAACAGCCAGCTGTCGCCCAAAATCTACATTCAGTCAGACGACGGCGGCCTCAGCTTTGTGGCGACCCCGTCCACCCTGGGACACTACCTGTGCCAGGCTGTGGAGAACGGCTACAGCCAAACACTGGTCGTCTACCACGTCAAACAGAAGAGCAGCCCCACCATCCTCCCAATCACCCCGAACCGCCCACACAGCACCCCGTCCACCGAGGTGGGAATTAAAACCCCCGTCTCCACTACCAGATTCATAACACCTGAACAAACAGAGCCGAGGCCTAAACCAGACGAAGTGCATCCTACAGTCACACTCAAAGACTCGTCGGCGGCCACCACTCGCAAAAGCAGGAACTTTACTCCCTTGCTTGGCACGGAAAAGGAAGACTCCCGAATGACCGAGCCTGGTGAAAACCTCCAGCAAGCGGACAAGCCCAGCTACTTTCAGGAGCTTGTAGTGGTGTCCGTTCTGTTAGCTCTGTGCGTCAGCGCCTTGCTAACCATCGCTTTTAACAGATTCAGGCATCTTTGTCGTAGCAGGACAGTCCCGCAAACTCCTTCCTCTCGCAGGGACGCCGAGAAGGGTGGAAGTGCGACGCCCCAGGAGAGAGAGTCTCTCAGAGGAAACTCGCCTCGTTTGGAAAAGCGGAACGGACAAGCTCCTAACGGACAGTCCCACAATGGTCAGGCACATAATGGCAAATCTCCCATCACACTCACCAACAGCATGCTGAACAACTCAAACGGTCACCTGCCCAACACACCCATCTGATGCACTCCTCTAGTTTTCTGGGTTCACGGTAAACCTCTTTTCTGAGCCAAACTGGGCTTCTGCTGTATCAAGCCCTGTCGCTGAACCGCTTTGCTTTCCGAGAGGAAAAAAAAAAGGTAAAAACGGCACATCGGACCTTTTTTTTGAGCTGTAAGACTCAAAGATCTTCAACTCTAGGTACTACAGTAGTGTACATTTTTCAGTTTGTTCATATTTATGCTGTAATTTATGTGACGACTGTTTGTTTCAGTCTAAAGTGTATCAGATTTTATGCCTCTCTAAAATCACATATAAACGTAGATGGTCAGTTTAAGATTTTCATTGATCTCTTCAACCTTTTTAATTGACATCAGAAGCTGTTCAGTCAGCTCAGTTTAAAATACACTTTTTAAATAATTTTATATTACATATTTTGATGGACCTTAAAAGTAAAATGTAATAAAGTTTCCTAAGAGAGGCAGCTGATCATCTGCTAATTTCAACTTCAAAGACTTGCTTGAAATTTCATATTTTCCATTCAGATCAAATGTTCAGTTTCCTGTACTCTGTCTGCATTGTTCAGAGTTGCTATATTGCACATCTTTTTTAGTCTTTGCCTTTGTTCCTTATTCTTATCTATTTCCAATTTTTGAATGTTAAAGACGAGGTATGTCTGTTTAACTTGATTTTTTCCCCCTTTCAGTTCACCCCAAAAATTACAATTTTGTCATTTATTCGCCCTCAGATTGTTGGTAACCAAACAGTTTCGGTTCCCAGTGACTTTTGTTGTATGTTGTAAAAAAAGAAAAAAAAACTTAATGTAAGACAATGGGAATAGAAACAGTTTGGTTAACTATGTTTTTAAAAAAAAATCATCTTTTGTGCACTGGAGAAACTCATACAGGTTTAGAATGACATGAGGGTGAGTAAATATCAGAATTTTAATTTTTGGGTGAATTATCTCTTGAATGTTGCACCAATGCAAAAATGAAGCTTTCAAAGATGCTTTTCAAGTGGTTTAATTTAAATAAGTATTTTGTAATGCATAAAGTTTTGCTGATCAGTAATGTGCAGGTACGTGGTAGATGTTTCTCTATCATTCATATTTCAGCGTAACAATATCTCAATATAAAAATAATACTCAAATGTGTTATTTCGGTATTTTGGACCTGTTATAGAACTATGTAGCCTGGTTACCTCGTTCAGTGTTGACCACTTCACTCTGCCCTAACCACAAAACACAGGAACTTCAACACTGGAACCGAGAAAATGGCTTCAAAGGATTTTTGGGTTGAATTTTGTTCAGTTTTTATATTCGAAACACTGGGAGATAGTTGAGCCAATCTGTTACAGGAAAAATCATAGTCAAAGAAACTTGATTTTGTTCTTAAATATGATGGGGGGAAAAAAATAGGCAGTTGTGTTTTGCATTTGCACAGCAGTATATTGGGCCTGATTGTAGCTACATCCACTATATTGGGAGTGACCTGCATCTATTTTTTTTTATTCTTTCCCAGCCTGTGGTTTGTCACTGAACGGTACGGATTTGAAGTCTTCATTCTGGGGAAATCACTTGTAAATTCTGATATTGCCAAATGTGGGTTTTATAATTAAATGACGGAGAACTTGTTCTGTCTAGTGGTTCAAAGAACAGTTCCATTTATCTATTTGTCTGTAGTTGGATAACAGTCCAGTCGAAGCCCAGTATGTGAAGCCTGTCACAGGACTAGATGCATTCTCCTGCACGCCACTGATTTTGAAAGATTCTGTTTATTTTTTTATAGCCTATGAAGCAGACTGTTTTGAAAATAAAAGATGCTGATTTAAAATCTTGGGAATTATTTTTTTTTTTTTATCCACTTTTTTTTCCACTAGGTGGCAGCAAACGACGAATTTTCAGCATCGTTTTCAGCATCAATGAACCTTCAGAAATAATTCTAATATGCTTATTAACTGCTTAAGTTTTATTGATATTTAATTGTTAATAATGTTTCTGCAATGATGTTATTAATAATTATCAATTATCAACAGTTTTTGCTGCTTCATATTTTTGTGATGTATTTTTGACATGATTGATGAATTGAAAGTTCACTGAACATCATTTTACTGGAATAGAAATCTTTTGCAACATTATAAATGTGTCCTTACTGAACACGAGTATACATTTTTTTTCTTCTTTTTTTTTTTAACTTCACTCCAAACTTATGAATAGTAGTGTAACATTAAAAAAAGAACAAATTAAATCTTGTAATCAGCAAACTTGATCAAAAGTGACAGTAAAGAAATTTATAATGTTCCAACAGATTTCTATTTCAATAAAATGCTGTTCAGTGAACTTTCGATTCATCAAAGTATCCTGAACTTTTCCACAAAAATATGAAGCAGCTCAACTGTTTTCAACATTGATAATAATAATAAATGCCTCTTGATCAGAAAGTCAGCATATTAGAGTGATTTCTGAAGGATCATGTGACACTGAATACTGGAGTAATGATGCTGAAAATTAATCTTTACATCACAGCAATAAATTACATTCTACAATATATTCAAATAGAAATCAGCTGTTTTAAAATTGTAATAATATTTCACAATATTAATGTTTTACTGTATTTTAATCAGATTACTGCTGCCTTGGTGATCATATAAAAGACTTCCTTCAAAAACTTTAAATAAAAATAAAATCTAAACTAAAAATCCCAAACTTTCGACCGGCAGTGTAAATTAATTGATTTGTACTCAGAATAGTAGGCTATAGCTTTTAGTCGGATGGTTGGTCTCTCGTTAAAAGTGTATAGACTATAAAATAAGTTATTTTTTGTCTGAAACGTAAGCTACTAGATATTGTTTATTGAACTGTAACTGCTGTTATACTGCTGGTATTAAAAATGGAAGAAAATAATAATTACAAAAAAAAAAAATATATATATATATATAAAATGAGCGTTAGTGAGTGCTGGAAGTTGCCATAGCGCCGCATCACTTTGAGTCTGCCTCCATACCGCCGCCTCCTCACTGCGGTACTGCGCGTGAGCCGCGTGTCACACACCTCTACAATTAACTAGTTGTTTCCCTTCAGCTGCAACGCGGATGGAATAACTGAAGGCTGCACTTTCGCCTTTAAAGAAGAAAAGCAGAATCAACGCGTTTTTCTTGAGCCTCAGAGGTAAGTGGCATCACACGTGTCGTGTGTTTGAATGAATCTCGATTTGGGACAGGACGAACGCGCGCGCCGCCCCACCTATGTATGACAGCGCTGAAGGTTACACGCCTTTAGGGTTTGGGAAGCCGTAGACAATACAGCACTGGGGTGAGTCGCTCTGTTTAGCGTTATTCGTGGCGCAGTTATGCTCCGAGATAAAGTTGCATGCTGTCATAGTGCGGGACACTGCGGATGTGAGGAGACTGATGAAGCTGCGCGTTTTGCCCTGCGTCTATTTTTGGCTGCGCCTCTTGCCTTCGAGGCCAAGAAACCGTTTAATATCTCATCCGTTGAACATGTGAAATGTAAAACAGTAGAAAAAATGCACGCAGAAGACTCAGAAATGTGTAAAAATGCGCTCTTAAAATGTTATAATCCTTATATAGATTTAAAATGGTCTAGTGCTGATGAAATATGTAATACTGTATGCAGTAGTCTACTGTAAAGATATGCCTACTGGAGGCTATATTTGGGGTTTTCTCAAACTGACACATTGGCGAATCCCTTTGGAGATCTTAGTTGCTGTATATATCATATTTTATACTAAATGAAACTAAAAAACCTCTCCTTTATGATGGGGTTAATGGAGTAACCAGTTTTTGTAGGAACTTGTGGGCTTGTCTTATTCCTCAGAGAGGCTGTCTTATTTGAAAAGGTGTCTAGACACTCTCTGGAGAGGCTTATGAGAGTTCAGAGGGATGTATACTGTTTAGGATGGGTTTTTGGACTGGTGGAAGTATAAATGACTGGTTTGAACCTTTTTTTTTTTTTGGTAAAAAAATCATCTTGTCATGTGATGCATCTCTACAAAATATTAAAGGGATAGTCCATTCAAAAATTAACATTCTGTCATCATTTACTCACCCTCATGTCATTCAAAACCTGTATGACTTTTTCATCACCAAATAATCTTTTTTTCTGCAGAGCGCAAAATATTGTGTGTAGTGTTGGTAACCAAACAGTTTAGTTCCCATTGACTTCCATTATATTGACAAAAATATGATGGAACTCTTTGGAAACAAAAACCTCAATTCAAATCTAGTTAGATTCCTCAAAATATCTCCTCAGGTTAAAGGGATAGTTCATCCAAAAATGAAAATTTGATGTTTATCTGCTTACCCCCAGGGCATCCAAGATGCAGGTGACTTTGTTTCTTCAGTAGAACACAAATTATGATTTTTAACTCCAACTGTTGCAGTCTATCAGTCGTATAATGTGTTACCATTGCCCTGCATTATACGACTGATAGACTGCAACAGTTGGCGTTAAAAATCGTCAAATGTGTTCTACTGAAGAAACAAAGTCACCTACATCTTGGATGCCCTGGGGGTAAGCAGATAAACATCAAATTTTCATTTTTGGGTGAACTATCCCTTTAATAACAATATGAAGGTGATTAAATGATGACAACATTTTAATTTTTGGGTGAACTATATCTTTTAAAAGAGTTCCATAATGGAATACTAGCAAAGTACACTTTCTACAAAGTAAAGTAAAATATATATAAACTTAAGCCTAGTTATTTCTACAGTGATTAGTGATATGACACTGATGTTATGTTATGACAGTGTTATGTTATTTTGCACAAAAATTCAAGAATTCAGAATATGAGCCAATTTGCGTGTCTCCATTGATCACTGTTCTATTTTAATGGATTATAGAAAATTGAGTTCTTCCTAAATGTAGTTTTATTGACATGAAAATAAAAAACTATTATTTATATAGTGCTTTATACAATACAGTTTCAAACAGCTCCACAGGAGTAATTTAGTAGCATTGTAAAGTTTCAGCAATTATAAAAATGACTTCAGTTTCAGCTGTAAATCATCTCTACAGAAGATAATTACCATTATTTAGGTCAAGTCAGTTAAGTGATTCGATTCAGTTCAATGACAGTGTCAGTGTTACAGAGTTGATCAAATTATGAAACAAATTTTGTCCAGCTATAAAGCAGCTCTAAAGAAAACAATGGTGTCATTATTCAGATTAATTGACTTGAACCTTGATTCAGATCTATTCAATAATTGCCTTATTAATAAAACGACTGCAATGGCAGCTCTACTGAAGACAACAGTGTCATTAAGCAGTTCAGTTCAGTTCTCATCCAGTCCTGTCAGTGCAGCCAAATTGATAATATTTCTAAAAGTTAATTCTCTATTAAGCACCCTTTTTAAGCACATGAGTATCAACTAAATATTGGGATGTAATGTGATGATGTTTGCTATAGCAGTTGTGTTCACTTTGTCAGTTTAGGGTTAGTAACGATAAATAACTTTACAAGTCAGTAACCACATTTGAGATTGTGGGTTATGAATTTAAGAATAGTCCATTGAAAAACCCATATTTGGCTAATCTGATCACTGCATCCCTCTATGGTGGACCTTTAGGCCAGAGATAGCATGGAAAAAATATGATTTTTTGATATCAGTAACCTTTTAATGGACGTTCAGGCACAAATGATACCATGAGCATAACCTTTTTGAGCGTTAATGTGATTTAATGCTCAGTCACCCATATTTTTGTCCTTTTCATTCTGTCATGCACTGTCCTTATCTGTCTTCGTTCTTATTTCTCTCTTTTTCCCTATTCAGTTCAGTTTCTTCTTCAAAACCAGCTATTCTTACACTTCTTATCTCCAACTGATTCTCTTGATTTTAGCATAGCCAGGCCTCAAACTGACTGACCTCAGCATGGGCATTGAGAGTCAGGGCCCCATGCGCCCTGCAGGAAACCTGACGCCAAAGCAGGTCAAGACATTTCAGAAGGTGGAGCCGAAAGCACTGGGGGTGAGTGTTACATTCACTGCAACAAATCCCACACCAAATGCATAAAAAAGTGTACAGGAATATCTTCCATGCACCAGAGTTCTTTCTCATACTGTAAGCCACTGTGCTGCACATTTCATACAATATGATTGCATGAATGGCTTTGTAATAATGTGACTATGCAAATGTTTGAAGCTATTTAGAGTGTCAAAAAATATTTCTCGAAACAAACTGAATCTTTGACATCAAATAAAAAAAGTATATTGGTTTTCTGGTATAAAACCATTGAAATGGCCTATTTGGCAGCATTAAGTTCATTGAGTTTGTTGTTTTGTTGTTTCAGTCCATTCAGATCATCATTGCAGTCTTATGCTTGTGTCTGAGCATCACCATTCTTCAGCTCTATGAAGAGGTTCACTTCTCTCCTGATGTCATTGTTGTGGTAGTGATCGTTGTTCAGGTAAGCTGAATGTGCTAATGGACCTTAAAAGCAGGGTGTTTAATCTATTATGAATCCAGTTGTCACTAAGGATGTTGCAAACTTCAAGAATTCTCTTGTTATCAGTTGCTTGTGTCTGGATCCATTTTAATCCATGCTGGACGGTTCCCGTCTCTGTTCTGGGTGAGTACAAGTTCAAGGTTTGCAGAGTTAATGAAACTATACTAACCTACTCACCTACCCACCCTGAACCCTCACTACTAGTCAACATTTTGGACACGCTTGACTAAATTTATGTTTCTCTTATTTATTAATGCTTATGCATTTGATTGAGATTAGTTTTGTAGAAAAATACAAATGATTCCTTTTTCGTTTATGTTTCTTAAAAGTTGTTTTTGTTTGTTTTGTTTTTGTTTTGTTTCGTTTGGTTTTGGAGCAGATAGTGAATGTTTAATGTTATGCATAAATGATTGAAATTAGTTCTGTAGAAAAATATGAATAATGCCTGTTTACGATTTTCTTAAAGGGGTCATATGATGCTGCTAAAAAGAACATTATTTTGTGTATTTGGTGTAATGAAATGTGTTTATGCGGTTTAAGGTTAAAAAAACACATTATTTTCCACATACTGTACATTATTGTTTCTCCTCTATGCCCCGCCTTCCGTAGATAGTGAATGCTTAATGTTTATGCATAAATGTTTGAAATTAATTTTGTAGAAAAATATAAATACTGATTTTCTTAAAAGTTGTTTTGTTTTTGTTATGTTTGGTGTTTGTTTTGTTTTCTTGTTTTGTTTTGTGTTGTTTATTTTGGTTTTGGAGCAGATAGAGAATGCCTAATGCTTATGCATAAAGGATTGAAAAAGACAACTAGATTAGGAAGCAAGCTAGAGAACATTTTTTTAAGTGCATTACTTTAAGAGTGTGTTCAAGTGTGGTAGTTAAGTGCTTGCAGAAGAGGTGTGTCTTCATCTGCTTTTTGAAAGTTGTGATGGTCTCAGCAGTTGGTGAACGTTGGTAGCAGGTTGGCAGGAGAGTTTGGAGCCAACATTCGCATAATTACATATCAGTCACTCATGTGGACTACTTGAAACCTGTCGAGCTTTAATCTATACAAAGAAGAAGAGAGAAGTACAAGAGAGTTATGATCTGGTCCTTACATAATTCCCAGGCTTCCATTTGCTTCCATTCTCATAGTTTGATGACTGTGGAAAATAATCTTAATAAAAAAAGTATGTTGACTGGCATTGTATTTCAGTTTTTGTTTTCTCAGTACTGCATTGGCTTTCATTTTTCAGTGTTTTATCAAATGACAGTAAATGAGTTATATGAGCTGCACAGTAACTTCTGTCCCACCATGTGAAGGTAAAAGCCACACTGGTTGCTCACCTGGTCAGTGCAGCGTTTTCCACTGCTGTTCTTGGGCTGCTGTCTCGTCACCTGCCTTACCGTCAGGACACGTACCACTGTGAGCACTGCAGGAGACTGGAGATCTATGCTGTGGTGAGCTCACACATCTGCTACTCTCTGCTGCTGAGCGCCTTGCATTATGGGAAGATGGGTTTGCACATTTAAACATAGTCCTGTAGATATGTATGCATACAGTATATTGATGATGAATGCATGTGGGTGAGTTTTGGGTGCAGTGGGAAGGATAAAACACTGTAAGTGGGTGATGATGTGAGGAACTGGCCACATCAACTTTCTTGTTACAGTTTTTTCTTCAAGCAATTTCCTTGATGCCTTTTCAAAGGACTGTACCGAAGTGCAAAACATAGCATCTTCAAAAGTTTTAATAATAATGTGTGTCTGTCAAAAAGTCAGGTTCGTATACTTCACATGGTTGAAGATTTTTTGTAAATCTTCAGTAAAGACCTGTTTGTCTGCTTTTTTATATAAAGTCAAATTAGTGCTTTCAAAGTTGGAAGTTGTTTCATAGTATAATTTTGGTTTGCTTAAACCTTACATTAAAATTATACGTACCATTTGATTAGACCTTCTGTTTAATTTTTGGAGCTTAATGAATTGAAGGATTATGTTGGAATAAATATAAAGCTTTTGAATGAAATATAAAGTGAAAAAAGACAGGTAATGTTGTTACTTGGGGTACTGACTTCTGATTTGATGTGGGATTGTGTAAATGCAACTTATACTTTATTAAATTGCTTTAAATTGGAAAGCAATTTGATTGGAAATTGAAATAAGGTATTTGGACAGTAAAGTGAAACATTTTTAAACACAAATTATTTTAGATCTAAAATGGAAAATGAAAAGAATTTCCATAATGGTCTTGAAAGCTAAAATATAAAATTATAAAATGGAATATTAAGATGGAATATTGCTGTTTTCTTGGTTTGAAGTTGTCTTTGGTCTGGGTTTTTTTTTTTTTTTGGTACTGTAAATTTTTGACTGATGCTTATGTTTGTAATTGCTTTTTTATGTTTTGATCCCAGTGATGGCAAGCCACATTAACATTCTTTGGGCAAGATTTACTAACAGATTGCACCAGCACTAACCCTCTTTTGGCATTAAAAACATTAAAAACGCAGTGAATTTAAATGAATCATGCAAGGTGATTTAATAATGTATGCGCTAGTCAGTTTACTGGTATTTCCGCCATCATTTAACATCCAGAAACAGCATATATTAACCTCCCACTCCCATCAGCACTTTTATGGGATTGTACTCTCGTGCTAATTTGCCCTGTTTAGTAAATCTGGTCCTTGGTCTGACACCAACTAAAAACTCAAAAGGTATCTGGGAAAAAAGTGAATGATTTCTTTCAGTAAGAAACATATTTAATATTAGCTGTCCAATTATGTCTATGTCCTATGGGGCTTGTTCCAATCTCAGAAGTCCAAAACCTTTCTGAGGGCACTGTCGTTTGTCAAGGAAGCCAAAAAACTGTAACAGTTTTTCTAAATTGGCTAATTGGGTGTGCTTGCAGCTACATTTGTATATGAATAATAGCTTTATAGCTGCATTTACAAAATTCAACATAATTTTGTCTTTTGTGTCTGCTTTTCCAAAGCAACAATATTGTTACAGGAAGTGCACTTATACTGTCGAGAGAAATAGTAAAGTAAGTAATTCTTACCTTTATGTTTGCCTTTGTTTACATGAATGTGCTTAATTATATGCTGATAATGCAAGAAAAAAAAAACAGGTACATTGAAAGTAACATTTTTGTTTTTTAAGGCAATTCAAGCATAAAACATAGTATGTTAATTCAGTTAAACTGGGTCACCAGTGTGACAGCATCACAAAAATTGGTCCAATTTGCCTGAATTCACTCTACAGTTCAGGATCTTTTTAAAAAACATGACCAGTAGCTCTGTGTATATTTGAAGGAGAGTGAATGCATGTGGTAGCAGGGTGTGGGTTATTTTGAAGATTGTGTTGTCAGTTTTGCACTTTGGGCCAGTTGTCTGAAAATGCTTCAGAATGAAAGATACCTTTAATTATTTGCAGATGTGCTATGAAAACTCAGATGGTCGCTCTTTTGCTAATCTTTTTCAATATTTCAACAATATCTGCTTTAACCTATGTGCTTGTCCATGTTTGTAACTTACTGAAAGCGGAAATCTCTTTGGCATCTTACAAACATGTGGACAAGCATGTCAGCTTTGATGGATGTGTCTATTATTATGCCTTAGATTGTTGTTTTTCTGTCTCTTTTGGCTGCTGTCAGCTCTTAATCGATGGCTTCTTGGCCACACTGGTTCTGTTTCTGGTGGTGGAGTTGGCGATCTGCATTGTAACAATCTTGTTTGGACTCAATGCTCTGGCTAAAGGTGGCATGCAGGTCAGTTAAACACATGCACAATGAAATAGTAGGATTGAGAGAGTATGTTGATTTTGGTGATTGTATGGCAGAGTCAGAAATTAATAATTTTTTTAATGTATCTGTGTTGTCTGTCTTCATGTCAAATACTTAAATCAGAATACTATCAATTGTTACCAATTAAATTTTATTGGTAATGTATTTACATAACAGTTGCATAATGATATGAGCTTAATTATGATTTTAAATAGCCTACACAAAGTATATAAATTATAAAATTAAAAAACAGGAACAACATTTTGAAAAAAAAATTATTTGTTGGTTATTACTATTGATATTGTAACAATGATTATTAATGTTGATAAATATAATTTATTGATTTTTTTTACATATAAAAAAATCAAGATTTCACATTTGTCATCTTACTAAGATGAAAAATAAAATGTATTTTCACACTAGCAATAAATTTTATTGAAAGTGAGCAAAAAAATATTGCCCATCACCAAAGTCCCTTTCAAGGAAAGTCTGTTCACTCAGCAGCCATATTTGCAATGCCTCGGGAAGCTATTTCGTGCATCCAAGACCCAGTCCTATCTGAATAAATGGGGGAAATCCTGAAAGTCCCACTTTATATTAGGTGGCCTTAACTACTATGAATGTACATCAAATAACAAGTACAATGTACTTATTGTGTTCATATTATCAGTGCTTGAAGTGGAAAAAAGAATTGCTGGTACCCCCCCCCTTATTTATTTATTTTAATTTTTTATATTAAATAACTACTTTTTAATTTTCATAATTCACAATGTAGGCTATGTATAGTGCCGCAATCAATCAGTAATTACAAAAACGTTTTCAATACAAATAACCACAAGTCAAGCTGCGATACCAAACAGGACCACAGGGAGACGTCAAAGACCACTAAACCTCCACTGGATACATTCAGAATCGCTAAACTTCTTACCACCGCATAACACCTCAGCCAGCCAGCGTCCATTATAAAACATTCTTGCTTTTAATCCAAATACACAATGAAAAGAATAATTTACTGACATCTGGACGTGAGTCACTATTCTCTCCACAATCTCTGATGAAATTGGCCGTGTTTTTTCTCTGCATTAGCGCTGTGTTTGTCCAACTGTTTGAATTCGCTTACTGGATCCTTGGACATTCCAGGAGTTTATCGGTTTCCATTAATGATCGCAAAAACCTGCTTCTTTTCATTTTTAAGGTATTGTTTTCGTTATAATGTACTGATTCAAATTAGTATTTAATTATTATTCTACTTCTCCCGACATGCTTTTGCACCTCACACAATTTGGCTGAAAGGATAACAGTAGCCTATTGTGAAACAGGACAGCGCCCAAACATCCTCACATTATATTATTTCTTTGAAAATGTATATGAATTCTCCATCTTTCTAAAGAAGTTGACGCAAACATGGGTTTATCAACGTTTTTCTATTGTGTTATACGTGTATGCCTTTGGACTTAAATGGACTGCGTTGTTTTATGCATTTTTGTGATTACAAATAAATGGAGCAGCCGTGACTGAACAAGTGTGTTTTCTCATTATATGTAAAATAATTAAATATATTATTTGGATTGAGCATCACTGATGCACACTTCTGACACAAAGTAATAAATTACTGTCACTGTAACTTTTTTAATCGTAAATCATTGGTAAAATATCGATGCTGGAGACTTTTTAAATATTTATAAGGACGAAATGTCCGCTTCTGTCAAGTTCGTTTTGCGATAGTTTTCATTTATTCATCTCCTCGCTGGTGAAATGATGCTGTGTGCCGTTTGCTTCAGAGAGGGGTGTTAAGGGTGGGCTTTTAGAGTAGCGCTGGTCCGACAGTGGAAGCGTAGCATTGGCCCCGCCCGGCTCGTTGTTAGCCCTGGCTCGCACTGGCTAGAGAGTGGAAAAGCGACAACCCCTGTGGTAGACCGACTCCGCTTGCATTCATTCACGCAATTTGTCGAGATGAGAGGTGACCCCTCCTGGTAGTGTGATTTATATACTGTTATTTCACCAGACACTGACGCTTTGACTTTGAGTACCGGCAACATGTCAGAAGTGCCGGTACGCACGAAAAAGTGCCAGTACGCTAAAGGCTAAAATACAGAAGTGCCGGTACTGCGTACCGGTGCGTACCGGCCCACTTCAAGCACTGCATATTGTATTGCAAAACACTTTTGCTTCTATTGCGTGAGTTCCCTAGAAGGGGAACGTCTCGGGTTACGCATGTAACCATGGTTCCCTGAGAGGGAACGATACACTGCTTCCTCTAACGTACACTATGAGGACGCAGCACGAGTTCCCTAGAAGGGGTTCTCTTGTTATAATGAACGAAGCTGTCCACAGTGCATAATGTATCTCTTTTTGCATAGTATCTGCACTTTGTTGTTTATGATGACAGAATTCACAATAGTGCATAATTCAGTCTGAATGTGCACACTCAACAAAACTCATTTTCAGCACTAATCTAAGTGGTTTTGATTGGCCATTCGTGCACTCGTAAACATCTGTGACTGGCCATAATACTGCAGAAAAACAACACGTAAAACTAAATCTTTGATGAAACATAAGTAGAACTAAATGAAATGCCGAAATCAACACTTTCCATGTCATTTCGCATTTCACTTTAATCACAACAATCATAAGATTTAGTTTAATTCTGCAGAGACATTTTTTGCCACGTTTGTTAAATCTGTGGGGTGTTTTTGTTCATTTTGGTGGCATTTTTGCCCCAAGCCCCCATTAATTTCCAACCCTGCATTGTATTTATTACATGATAATTAGTGTAACAGATTTGGTCAACTTCTAGTATAAATGTGCTTCTTTTTCTAAAATGACTTAGCATGTAGAGTGGTGTTCAGAAATATTTTTATTTGTTTTATAGTGATCCCTATGTTTTTCCGCAGCTTCCTGGTTTTAGACAGCGTGCTGCCCCATCTCAGCCCGAGGCCGTCACCCCTAGCCAACCTCAGGTACACCAGGAGCACTTTCAGATTTCAGTTGGGATTCAACCTTGCTTGGTTTTGGAAAACATCTAATGTGAAGTTAGAGCAAGTCAATCCGTTGCTTTCTCATATTTAACTCTCTGCTAGTTCTTGACCCTGTCAACCAATCAAACGTCTGCTTTTACCCACTCATTCAAACCCTACAGGTGGAAGTGGTGGTGTCAGAGGTGGAGCCAATGCCTGAGCGTGAACCTGAACCCAAATCTGAACCGATAGAAGAAATCCCCAGCCCTCCCACTGAACCTCAAGTGGCGCCCATTGACTCTTTAACAGACGTTTGATGCTTTGTGCTCATGTGATCTGTATGTATATTGTAGAGATGAGTGAGGTTTTAGCAGCAAGGGTTTTTGTATTTTAGTGATGTATGAAATCAACATGATAGGGCTTTGTAAAATAGGCCATTATCATCATACTTAAAAAAAAAAAGGGTTCAACCAAAAATAGAAATTCATTTGCTCCCTCATGTTGTTCCAAACCCATAACTTTCGGTTACACATTATTTTCAGGTGTCCTTGTTACAGAGTAATTAAGTACTTAGTAATATTAATTAACTACATGAATTTACTTTATGGTAGGGTTAGGATTAGGGTTTGGCTTAGGGTTACTTGCATGTAATTCTGCAAAATGTATTGTTATTATAATAGTAAGTACATGTAATGTGTAACAAGGACACCTTAAAATAAAATGTTACCTGACTTTCTTTGGTACAATGAAAATGGATGGGGACCAGGGTTGTCAAGCTCCAAAAAGGACAAAAAATCACTATAAAAGCAAAAACAAGAGTGGTACGTATAACTTGTGCACTATATTCCAAGTCTTTTGAAGTCATACATTTATGTCATCCATTAAAAATATTGCTTGACTACTGTGATCACCCGTTAATGTTATGAAAAGAGCAATTTAGACATCCTACTATTATTTTATCCTTTTGCATTCCACATCTTTAAAGAAACATGTTTAAAAGTTGTGGGTTTCAAAAGACATGAGAGTGAATTTTCATTTTGAGGTGAACCATTGCTTTAACATTGTATTACCTGCAGAGTTTCTTCTTGTCTGACAACTGAAGACTTACAGTGTTTGCAAAGCAGCACACAGATATTCTTCAAATATTCAGGGTCAAAACTTAACCCTAAATTTGAAACTTCTCCAATTAATTTAGCCTGAACCACTAATTTCACCTTGCTTGTTTTATCTGTTATTGTTAACTTTCATCTTTAAAAAAGTAAGATAATTCTCCTTTTGATAGAATCACTTAAACGTTAACTGGCAGCACAGATGTCATCATATAATTTGCATATTGAATGGTAATTGGTCTTCTTTCTTGCATCTGTTTGAACAATGAATCGTGATTGGTGAATGCTTGCATTCTTCCTTGCATATATTTAATCATTCACACTGTCTATGTATTAATCGTTTACACTGTGTGCTGTGTATATTGATGCTTGCAATGGCAAAACAGCTTTAATGTAGCATGAATCAAACCGATGTTTCGATTTTTTGGCTCTGTGTGAATGAAATTTTGCACAGGCTAGAAATGTAACTGTATTTGGCTTTCCCACAAACATGTAAAACTTTCAGGGAATTTCAGGGACTTTGAACATTGTGATTTACAGGCCTGGAAAGGAAGTCATAGAAATGAGTGAATATAGATTTTATTTTTTTTTCTAATAATGCACAGATCTAGAATATTTTATTTGCTAGAAATATTCTAGGTGCAATCTCTATAAAATTGCTTTTTTTATGTAGTAACAACTGAAAAAAAAATCATTAAAATTCATTGATCAAGGTATGTGGGAAGCTTGACAATTAATTTGCTGCCTTGCAAACTCAGCCGTTTTTGCAGGGTGTATCAGAATAAAGTACATGATGAAAAAAATAACATTAACGAATGCAGAAAGATCATAGCATGATTGGTGTAAATGTAATCATAGCTCAAACAAAAAAAAAATGTTGCACATCTTGCAGGGAAAAATGTATGTAAACAATGCAAGCATGCATAGCTGGATCCATTTAATGCAAGACAGCTTTAAATCATTATCAGCTGTCATCTACAACCAACAAACTATAGTGCGGGTAATATCATGTTAATTGAAAAATGCCATCAAACCCACCACTGATCTGCAATAATGAGTACTTCTATTGAGCTAACCTACTAACAAACAAAATTCTCTGTATGATATGTTCATATATGTTACATAATGTAAAATATTCCCACAGTTCATTTGGCCTCTTGAGTGTTAGTAATGTGTGTAATCTGATAACACAATATCTATATTGAACCTCCATGCTCACAAGAGAATGAAAAATAGTAATAATATCTTAACAGATAAGTTGGGCTTGATCTCTTACTGTACATCCTATTAAAGAAAAAAAAATTTGTGTTCACTGTTAATATCAAACAGTGGCATGAGTTATTTCCCTGTTGATATGTTGTATATTCCTGATTAATGTCATTGGTGCTAGTACACTAGTACATCTAAAAAATACATTTCAGTGCAGGATGAGGTTTTGTGTGTGAGAAACCATGATTTCATCTTTCATATAATCATTCTGTATCCTTCGATTACCAATAAATAGGTGAGAGAGAGAGGATAACCAGGTTTAAATGGGGAGAGTTCGAATAGAGCTTTTATGCGTCATCTTTGACCCTTTGTTTGCTTGCCATTGTTGTTTCACAAAGCTTAATAATTCAGCTAATAGTTATTATTGTCGTACGTTACGCACTCACCAGACTCACGGATTGTCATTTTTAGTATCTCTCAAGAATCTGAATTTGTTACAATACAGTCATAATCCAAGGAGCATTTTATTACAGATCTAATGAACCAAAGCATTTTGTTTCTCTTCTATGGTTTATTTACTTTCGTATACCTCTTTTACACAACATCTGTGTATTTTCTGCTCTGTTCACTCTTGTCACCTCTTGTTTAATTGTGATGTTTCCACTAGATGGGGATCAAAGGAATTGGTGTGACATTGTAGCACATTCTCATAGTGTTTGAAGTGCAGTGTATTTTAGGTGCTGAATGGACTTATTAAACCATTTTTATGCACCAACAATGTGAGATTATTATTTCTTATTTGTGACCCTGGAGCACAAAACCAGTCTTAAATCGCTGGGGTATATCTGTAGCATTAGCCAACAATACATTGTATGGGTCAAAATGATCGATTTTTCTTTTATGCCAAAAACCATTAGGATATTAAGTAAAGATCATGTTCCATGAAGATATTTTGTAAATTTCCTACCGTAATTATGAACTTTAAATAGAATCTTGTAGCAGTAAATTGGTGTTTTTCATGCTGCTGTCATGCAAAACTCTATTCTATTCTATTGTTAATTTTACATTTTTGTCGATACTTTTAGCAAGTTAATATTGTCTGTTTAAATTATTGAGATGTTTTTTTATCAGCTGTTTGGACTCTCATTCTGACGGCACCCATTCACTGCAGAGCATCCATTGATGAGCAAGTGATGTAATGCTAAATTTCTCCAGATCTGTTCTGATGAAGAAACTAATTCAAAAAACAAACCTGAGGGTGTGTGCCATTTCAACAAATTGTATTTTTTTTGGGTGATCTATTGCTTTAAAATTTGAATGTTGTAATAGAATCTCAGTTTTTAATACTATTATTCAGTCTCTTCTTATGATTGTGTAGGACGTTAATGGTTGCCAGGATTCGTCTTACTCAAATTCTCTGGTTACAAAAAAAAAAAAAACATGCACACATGCACAAAAGATTGATATGGAGAGATTAATAGAAAGTAGAACAGCCAGATAAGTTGTTCATCGATTCCTCATTAGTGTTTAAATGACCAAATTGATTGCTTATGAGTAGATTGTATCTGTGTTCTTCAACACTTAGAGACAGATTGTGTTAAAAACAAACGCAAGCAATCTGAAGCATCTAGCAAACGTGCAAACAAACCACATGCAGGTGATTTGTCTATTGCTATATATACCCTTTTGAAAAATAGAACACTTTGCCATATTTGATTCAATTGCAATTAATGAAATGACATTATAGTTTAAACTTATATTAAATGCAACTTCACTGTACTGAAGTATTTTCTTGTGTAGTTAAAGTGTACTGAAGAATGTGCTGACAAGGATTTATGATGAACTAAAATATACTTTAATGTCATTTCTACTTAAATGTATGCCATGTATTTAAAATAGTTGCAATGAAGTTGCAATTCAGTACCTTTAAAATATAGTAACTTTTAATGTTTTATCGTATAACACAGTTAAAATTATAATTAAGTACTTTCAAGCACGACAAAAAATGATTAAAACAAAAACAGGAATTAAAACATCCTGTAAAGCAAAACTTTTAATTTGCCATTATTACAAAGTGCACTTTTTAAAAGTCTGTTAGCAAACAGTCATAAAAATGAGCTTTATTTAAGTACACTTTAGTGGCCCTTCATTTTATTATAGGCTATTATACACTGTAAAAAAAAATCTGTGACATTTACAGTAAAATACCGGCAGCTGTGGTTGCCAGAACTTCACCGTAAGAAATATGGTAGCAACATTTTAGGTTTTACAGACTTAAATTCACAATAAAATACCGTATTTCATTAACTGATGTAATGTTAATAAACCAACATATTGAAGGGTTAATATCTGTTTTGTGCCATTGTAATGCACTGATAACCACTAACCACCAAAAACTATGAGAAAGTCACATGATGAACCAAAGCTCATCCCAAACAGCTTTTCTACGAGCTGAGGAGGGCAATACTTATATATAGAAGGTATATACAAACACTAAACCCCATCATGGTGACACACATGATACTGAAATAATGCAATAAACATTCATTTAACAACATTAGATGTAAGATTAAACCCTAGTGTACACAACTGATAAGAAAAAACTAAGAAGAAACGTTATAAAAAAAAATTTTTTTTTAAAATATAAAATATGAAGTGTCATGCAGGGAATTCTGGGAGTGTCAATTTACGGTTTTTCACTGTAAATTATACAATGACTTTTTCTTTTTCACTTCCAAAAACCGTATTTTTAACAGCAGTAACTGTAAAATCACATTAAATGTAATTACATGTATTCACCGAATATAGTATGGAAACTTACTGTTAACCAGTTAACAGGTTTTTACTGTAGCATTTTTACAGTCTTTTACTGTTAAAATCACAATCATTTTTTACAGTGTATGCATGTACAGTTTTTTTTTTTAAATATACTGTGCTTATAACATTTGAAGTGTATATTTAATCAAAAATTAAGGACACTTCTTTTACACAAGTGTGTGAATCGGAAATGTACAACTCCCTGCTCCCATAAGTGTTTTATAAACAGACTGTATAAATATCACTGTTTAAAATCCTCTCTGATTAATAATCCACAAATAATGACTTTACTTTTTCTGATCACCTTGTGACGCAAAACTGTTACTAAAGATAGAATAGGCGCAGCACCTCTGACATTCAGCCAGGAACTCAAACACAAACAATAGCTGACTACTTATAAAACACATCGTATATGAAACAACTAGCATTCTGTTGAAAGCAGAGTGTATCAAGGGTTTTGTCAGAGATTGTAGTTGTTTTCTTTCTGCTTTGGCATGATTACTCGGAACACACTGATAAGCAGGTTTATATGATCTTTTACACATGCCACATGTAACATTTGTTCATTATTTGCTGGTGAACCACTTAAAACGTGTAAATATTATATGATGTATAATAGCCCTAAAAGTATGCTTAAAATATCTAAATGTCTGCTATAGAAACAAACTCTACCATTACATTTAATATGGATCTGAGTGTAGGTAACGCTTACATGAAGGTCTTTACTGATCCCTGACTGATTTTATTAGGTTATACCATTTCTAAATATATATAATATTATCTTAAACTTATGAGGTAATGTTAACATTGCAGAGGAAAATGTGGAATTGTTTGGAGAGGCATAAAAGATGTAGTGGCTGAGTTAGGGTACTGATTATTTTTAATCATATATGTACTTTGAGATGATTACTAATTCTAGCATTTAAGCTAAGTTTGATTTTCAACAATAAAGAAATATTTGATCACTTAATTGCACTTTAAAGGCACAATATGTAATTTTTGCCGCTAGAGGGCGCGTATTCAAAATAAACAAAGAGACAAAGGCGTAGTTTGATGACGCAGTGACTGAGTGTGGAATCATGGGAGTTGTGGTCTTCATCCCCACAGCCGATGTTCAATTGCATTAAACAAAGAACATTCATTCTTTAAACCATCTATATTAATAAATATAGATTAAACACAGGGGATAAAAAAACATTATAATAAATTATATTTATCAAATAAATCTAACAAGATTCCAGCTTTTTTATTTTTTGTTTTTGACTAAGTTTTTGAGTATTGTCTCAAATAATTCTTAAATACTATAAACATTGAGGGGGGGGGGGACAGGCGACACAATGACATTATGGACACGGTCCGTGTCACTAGTTAAAATTGCTTATTTCTCTGGATTTAAACATTCTTCGAAACATTTGGGATAATGTAAGTACACAAGTCAGCAAAATATATAACA